TTTCTCATAAGTTATTCTTATAGTGATTAGAAAATTATAAGAATACATAGGCACAATTTTTTTTATTAGCATTTGAARTTCAAATATTGACAAAAATTCGTCAAAACCATGAATGTTCATGAAAATCCAGTAATGATAACGATTTATCCTCAAACCAGGTACTTATATGTATATCTATGATAATATAAGGTATTATGAATTATGATAACTACATGCAATGTTTTTGGAAAAATAGATTAACCATACTTTATGCAAAATTAATCATGCAAATATGCAATATGCGTATAAAAAAATCGATTTGATCGAAAATTGGTTTTGCGTAAAAATTCCCGTTTTTCTGTCATTTTTCTCGATTTTTTTGAAAACTATTGTTGAAATGTTTATTTTTTACCTTTATAATGCACCAATGGCATTCACTTTCCTATCATCCTATCAGAAACGGTGCTGAGTGTAAAAATCGAAGCACTATTACTATCCAAACCCTTGCTGACAGACACAAAAAAAAATAAATAAATAAAAAAAACACACATATCATTGTAATATCAATACATTCATCACTCCGTTCAGAATCTAAAATTCAAATGGTTCAAATATACATTTTTCTTAACTAAAAAAACTAATTATTCAGTACCTCATAAAGCAATTAATTATTAATATATACTAAGCTATATTCACTAAATTAGCCAACCTCATTTTTCAAAGCATGCCCTCATCAGAAGAATAACTAGCCAATAAATCTAGAATAAGCTCATGCTATATTTTAAAATAGTTTCATTTTGTGTGAAGCCCAATGGACTATGTTATTAAGAGTCTTAAATTAATAAAAAAAAATTACATAATAATGACAATAAATACTTATATAGATAGTATATTATGCGATTTGTTATTTATACCTTTATATTAATTAATTAAATTAATAAAACAATGTCTATTTAAAAATGTATCTAAACTAAAATAAATAAGCTTATACTATTTTTACATAGTACTGCAGTTACTCGTATTACGATAGTTAATTTTAATTTTTTAATTAGGTACATCTTTAGATGTGATATAGAAATGTTAAATTCGAAAACTCTAGTCGATCATCATAACATCTCATATTTACAGATATTATTAACTATTATAATATTCCTATATTATTATGTAGTATTAAAAGTCTTACCTAATCATATTATAATATACTAGATGAGTGATGCAACATTTTATCAAGCTTCCAATGTCAAATTTGACGAACAAATTCGTTCATGTCAAATCAACCGGATAAATGAATATCATGCTGATAAATATTTTGATGCCATAAATACTCGTATTGAATCTTTTACCGGATTTTCTATAAAGACAGCTGAACCATATCAAATAGTTAATTATGGTTTAGGTGGTCATTATAGACCTCATTATGATGCGTTCCGAAAAATACCTGTACGTAACACAATTATTTAAAAACTTGCATCTTGGAACATTATTGACCATGCTTTCCTAGTTTAAAATATGTTTAAAAAACAAACGAATTTATATATGCAACTAATTTTTATTATGAATTTATATAGTTTTTATGCTACTTTTGTAACAATACATACATAAAAAAAATATTTCAACTATAGAATCAAGAAARAAGAGCTACAATGCTACATATATACCTAGCTATCATGACCAACTAACAAATATAGTTAAATATTAAATTTACTTTGGAATGTATAAAAAAAAAAATGTTTTTAAAAACACATGAATTGATATCGTAATTGATAAACTTACTTTTTAGTGATAAGAGAATCCTTTGTACATTGCATTATTGCAGTAGGTAAGTAATATTTTGTTCAACTTTGTAGAATTTTTTATGCATTAAGAATATGCTTGAACGGTTTACATAACCATTGACTCGTGTCTTAACATTATTACTTTCCATAGGAAACAATCAAATATCCCAATGAATAAGTTAGCTTAAATAAATGACACATTAACCTACTTAACATAAATGTATTAAAAACTGTATTATCGCTGTAATATTATTATTTACAAATTTAGATGGACGACGTGTCTGAAGGAGGTGCCACGGTGTTACCCAATGTAAAAGCGCGGGTACCAAGTGTCAAAGGCTCAGCACTTGTCATATACAATACGAAAAGCACTTGCACATCGATGAAAAAATTATCGAAATTCGCGCAGTACGGCTCTTGTCCAATAGTTTACGGTGACAAATGGAGTGAGTATAAAAATAAATAAAACGTTACCTTTTTCTTCTTTTTTTTCGTGGTATCAAGGRCCGGAACAGGAACTGCTTTCGTATTACTTCTATTACAAGAGGTATCTTTACCTTATAGAATAGTGCCGCACTCATTTTGTCGGTCAATTTTTGTGGTCATCGATCTGATGTTTAGAAATGTTATTCATTCGATAATTATATTGATATAAGTAATTTTTACATCGTATTTAAATGCGTGATATTATATTTAAATCAAATAAAAATCTAAAAATTCACTACGTCTAACAAAACAAAAAATGTTTTTGTAAAAATACTTTATAATGTTAAAAAAGTGGGAATTATTTTCTTCGCAAAACAACTGAGAACTGAAATGAGTGCGAATTTCCTATGCTTATATAGGTAGATACTTTCATGTTAAATGGACTTATAATATCCTCATTGTATACGGAAAACGRAAATGTAATTAGACATTATACAATATATCCACATGATCCAAATGCATATTACGAAACGTATAGTAATATTTTTTAACCATTCAATTATTATATTTACAGCGTTAACAGTGTRGTTAAAATGACAGAAGAACGAGTTTGCAATAATCTATCGTCATTAATTAATATAATAAATTATGTTTTTCATGAAACGCTACATCTTTGGAGTGACAAGACAATTAGAAATAACGTACCTATTTGAACATAATATAAAATATATAAAACGTATTATTACTATTATTCTGTATTTTAATATAGATTTCACATTTTATTTCGTTAACAACGATTTAGATCATTGTCCATTGATTATAATTACTAGTATTTATTTTAGATGGTAATTAAATATCAAAATGAATTAGTAACAAATTGTTTATAAGTGTGAAATACTTTTGTGGTAACTACACTAATTGTATATGTAACTGTACCTAGTGTACCTGTGTTTAAATGCAAATAACTKGTCTCTTAAAAAAAAGCTTAACAATTAGTTGTAATAATGTTATCAATATAAAATATAATTCATAAGAATCAGTAATAACAATAAAAGGCTTAATATTATGACACAATTAAAAAAAGTTATTTTCTAAATCCACAGATACAAGTATTTTTATGGCAAAAATAAATTGACTCAAGCTATTATTAATAAAAAACGATATTATCCATAGACATCAAACAGTTTTAACTATATTAAATAAACGATCTAATAATGTAATATAATTGTATTGAATTAAATCAATTTTTTTTTGTATTTGTTCATTGAAACTACCTCTAGGTCTTCGTCAATGCTCATCACAAGTGGGTAGTAGGGAGATCATGTGATCTATTTATCTATTGATATATCACTATATACATGATACTACCCATCTTCTCCAAGAGCAGACATGTGTGGTCTTCACTCCCAGTGGAGTGTTACCTAGTTGGAAATCGGATGACGCGATCGGACGACAGCGTGAGGATTTGGTGATCACGTAGAACCACACAAATTTTTTTGTTGCACTTCACTATGAATCGAATCGATGACTGTGTGAGTCGTAGTCAATTGCGTGACCAATGCGCCACTCTGGCCCCGAAAATCAATAAAAGTATAGACGAATCATAAATGCGTAATACAAAAAACCTCACTTAACTACACTAATATATCTAGTCGTACTACAGGAATCGATAAAAGTATAATCATATTTTTTTGTAATTGTTTTTCAACACAAAGTATCCGAATAAAATTATTTTAAATAATAAACTATATAAGTTACGAAATACGTATCGATTTAAAACAATTATGATTTTTTAACAATAATAATGAATAATTATTCACTTAATTTTAATCAATATATTAGCTATTAGACAACTTGTACAATAAATAAATGATCGGATTTCTTGGTTTCAAATATAACTAAAACCGCGATATTTTTCATTTAAATATTTTACACCTATTTTTTTTTTCTAATTTTCARTTTATTATAATGTTTATAAAGAAAAATGTATTTCTATATTTTTAAATTTTCTGGTTTCATTATAAAATACTTATGTTGAAACCTTGGCTTATTTTTTCGATAAATAAAAACTCAACTACGTATTTATATCTAGTCGTATGACGTGTTGTATAATATTTAACATGATAATATTGATAATTATAAGCTAATGATGGCAGTGATCGTTAAAATCCATCATATTTTTTAAATACAAAATTCAATTTACTCGAATAAAAGTGAAAAATAAAAACTACATTATGAAAATGAATTTTGTATACAAATTACGTGGTATATATTTTAAGTAACTTTAATCAAAATACAAAATTGAAAATATATATTACATTTTCTGTAAAGTTATTCAAATTTTATAACTTATAAAAATTAAAATWAAAAAATTGTACATTTTATTGTGATTAATATTTTACTACACTATAAGTTAACGATTTAGCTATATTATAGTAGAATTATTGGTTTCATTTCAAAATATACTAAAATGCTAACAGTATAAATTTTTTGTACAAAAATGATAGAATAAATTTGATTTACAAGTTAAAAGTTTGTATACCTTTATTTGGAATCATTCGTAAAATAATCTTATCAAAAATAATTTAATTATTAATTAAAATCATGTTTGTATATCAATCAATACTAATTTCACATTTGTCTTGTCCCCGCTTCTAATTAATTATAAAGATAACATTTTAACAACATTATAAAAACAATTTATTTAATATAATATAGATAAATTCACAATATAACAATAAGTCTAATTCCAATTAATGTTATCGGTGTCAGTGCTCAATATATTTAAGATTTATGAATTGATGAGTTTACAATCAAAAGAATACATATTTATATAAATAATCAGTAATCACAATAGTAAATATATAAAATAAATTGTAATGGTAAGTATATGTATCACTGTACCAGTATAGACTACCATAAAAATATTATATAAGTTATTATAAGGTTATGGCTTGGCGTGGTGTGGTGGTTGAAATCAATCGTAAAACGCGATAAAAAAAAAAATTTATTATGCAGGTACCTTATAATTTTGTTTTGGTTGATTTGTCGTTAGTACCTAAAGGTTAGTTTGAGACGCTAAAGTTGGTTCATAAACGTCATCAATTTTTTCACGCACGCTTCCTGATATTCGTGCACCCAACGTATTGAGTTGTAAACGCATAAGTTCTTCATGTCGTCTGGTAGCAGTGCAGTTGGAGGCCAAGTGAAATTGCTGCTCAATACTGGTATTATATTGCACTGGCTTTGTTTTGCGGTCTTGACTTCCTATAAAGCAGTAAACAAATCTCTCAATCTTATATGAATATCTTGTACGGTATTATAATCACGGATGATGATGCTATACGTCTCTAGTTCTCTACAGAGTGATCCTTTACCTCGGCAATAAGACCTGAAGCATCGATATCACTGGCAGACGAATTCATCGTATGCTTGTCTAATGAACCCGGCGTCAACACAATAATAAAGTTTTTCGTCTGTTTTATGGTCTGCAATACATTATGCCGARATTTGACGTCATTCGAACTTTTCACGACCATAAACACATTGTGACCTTCAATGTCCAAGTATACTTTAATCAAACTTTAACATATACGTCGGTGTTATTATTTTAATAATTATTATGGTATATATATTTTTATTTTTATTAGAAGCTGTCAAATATGATCTTTACCTGGCAAGCATAGAATCGGTAGATTGTCTGTAACTGATAAATGCATCGTAAGGTTTGTCTGTGTTTTCTTTGTACAACGACATTTCTAAATATATTTAATTTTTTTTTTCAATTTAATAAATAATGTCAATTT